AAGAAGAAAAAGAAGAAGAAGAAGAAGAAGAAGAAGAAGAAGAAGAAGAAGAAGAAGAAAAGAAGAAGAAGAAGAAGAAGAAGAAGAAGAAGAAGAAGAAGAAGAAGAAGAAGAAGAAGAAGAAGAAGAAGAAGAAGAAGAAGAAGAAGAAGAAAAAGAAGAAGAAGAAAAAGAATCAGCAGAAGGCGTAGGGTGGGGATTGGCAGCAGCGGCAGTTTCATTAGTTAATATCTGACAGTTACGTGGGTAATTTATGCAACTCTGAGATAGGTAGCTGAATGCCTATTTGAATTTTTCGCTGGCTCATCCGAAGGCATGTTGTTCGTTCATTACAAGCGATGAAGACCACTTTCATCCAAAGTAACTGGATGAAATTGACTTGCGCAAAGACTTGGATTAAAGTGAGGAAGAGTTGCGTAATTCGTCGACCTCACTCTCTTACCAGTGTCCATCTTGATCCAATGGTAGGACAGTGTCAAGACTAATGGAAATGGACCTAGGTGCAGTGGATGACCAATGAGTCTTAATTGCCCTGCCTTGCTCGAAGCTCTCCACAGAGCCTGCTGGTAATTGCCTTTTTGTCTGTTGGACCAACAATAGGTTTTATTCGCATAGTCCGCCGATTCCAATTTTGGTATACAGGGTAGGCATATCCCTTTCACTGAGTGGTTTACAACCAGGTCGGCTACCCTCTCCTGGTTTAGCCAGCCCGTCAAAGTTGTTGCCCAGGGGTGGTCGCTATCGCATGCTGACAGCTGCTAGTAGCCACAGGAAAGAAGGAATCTCTGGATTTTGTTAGAAAGTTTAAATGTTTCGACAATCTAATGCAGATGTCGGCAAACAGTACACCACACAAGTAATGATGCACTGACCAGTGCTGAAGCGAAAAGAGGTCGACTATGCGAACGTTGGACAGAGGGATTCGTGGGAATCCCCATTAGCGAAGTGCTCAAAGAGGTACTTTTCTGTAAATTATACTTCACCCTAACCGCAAGGTGCCAGAAGATCACGTTAAGATAAAACAAGATTGGCTAAAATGTAGTTTATGAGTTATGTTTATAAGCAAGGGCTTTAATACTATAACAACGAATACATAGCATGATTTGGTGGGTGTTGATTTAAAGTCTATGCTCGGTTGGGGGGGGGGGAGGAGGGGGGAATGGGGGGGGGGGGTCGTCCAGCCCTAGCGTAGCCGCAACCACAGTCGCAGTTATTACACGGATGTGAAAAATTTTCCTAGGGAAGCTACACCAAATCTGCGGAGTTCTTCGTGTCCATCGCCCTCGAGTATGGCTGGTCCCAGGTGGGTATAGTCTACCATGAGGTCAAATACGACGGAAGAGGCTCTCGCTCCAACTGTGCCTTCACGATAGAGCCCATATTCTACAGTGTGGAGCTGATTCTGAAATCCAAGCCATGGCATGTGTCCTTCAACGAGAAGGAAGCGACCGAGGAGACCATACTGTCCGTGATGAAACAGCTGGCAGCAAACTGTAGGAGTAAGTACTGGATCCGTTGTGTGGGATTTATTCACAGCTTGTCTTCATTACTTTCATGTCTGTCTGTCTGTCTGTCTGTCTGTCTGTCTGTCTGTCTGTCTGTCTGTCTGTCTGTCTGTCTGTCTGTCTGTCTGTCTGTCTGTCTGTCTGTCTGTCTGTCTGTCTGTCTGTCTGTCTGTCTGTCTGTCTGTCTGTCTGTCTGTCTGTCTGTCTGTCTGTCTGTCTGTCTGTCTGTCTGTCTGTCTGTCTGTCTGTCTGTCTGTCTGTCTGTCTGTCTGTCTGTCTGTCTGTCTGTCCGTCTGTCTGTCTGTCTGTCTGTCTGTCTGTCTGTCTGTCTGTCTGTCTGTCTGTCTGTCTGTCTGTCTGTCTGTCTGTCTGTCTGTCTGTCTGTCTGTTTGCCTGTTTGTCTGTCTGTCTGTCCTCCATCAATAGTTTTGTTTGCTTCTCATACTATACATTGTTTTTTTTCCGCCTACCCATCCATGACTGTATCATTTCACATCTTTGTATATATAAGTGTGTGTGTATGTGTGTGTGTGTGTGTGTGTGTGTGTGTCCGTCCATATATCTGCTATTCGGTGTGGCTTCCTGTTAGTTTCTTTGTTTGCAGGTCTGCATGTGAATCAGAGAATGTTGATTGAAAAAGCCTCAAAGTCATAATTTTAATTTTTACAACTTCCCATTGACTTCTCTTGCTGTAGCCTGCCACATCACCTGCACACCCAACCTCTCTGTGTTCCTCCGTTACAAGTATCTTACGCCTGCAATGATACGTCTTGAGGAGACTAGCTAGTTTGTTGAGACTCCAGCATCACTGTTGACAGATTCCCGAATAATGGGCCGGTTCCTGGGCTAGTTAAGTTTGTTGCGTATGCTATGCCGGATGTTGCAAAGCGAACCCCTGCATTTGTTGGCGGTGTTTCTGGGCAAATTTTACGTTCAGAAGTTTGTCGTTGCTTACTCAACGGTCGGCTATCGGTACCACTGTCGAAAACAACACA